GCCCCTAAGAAGGTGATTAAATAAATTAGTATTATATGCAATATGGTGAATAAAAAATTAAATTAACAATTACCATTGCGATTACCGTTAAAGCAAAAAATAATAAAAATAATCGTAGTGAAACAACAATATTATAAAGTATATTTAAATAATGTGCAAAACCTAAGTAATATGTAAATGTGTATGTAAATATGAGCAAATTTAAACCACAGATATTATTAATAATATATAAGCACTATACCTGGATAAATACGTAATAATAAAACCTAAATAATTACGAAAAAATTTAAAAAAAAAATAATAAGAAATTAAAATAAGAAATATATATAAACAAATAAATATAATAAGCCAGTCGGTAAAGAGCAGAAAAATTAAGTATATACTTACAAGTTCATACCAAATACCTATAACACTAATAAAAATAATAAATGCCATATACAGACTACTTTCAGCATTTTTAAATCCAATTTCAAAAGTATAATAATGAACCAATACATAAGTAGAAACAGTTAATGGTACAAAATAAGCAAAAAGGTCCACTAAGTTAAAAGGATCAGTAAAATATTCAATTCTTCCTCTTTCAAGTAGTTGGTTATATTCAACCATGATATGATAATAAGTTAAATAATAAAACAATATAATGGTTAAACCCATCATAATATGTTGGAATTCACCAGTAACTTGAATATGTGCGATATACGTCCAGGAAATAATTGAATAAGTTATAAAATATAATATAAAAATATATAAAGTTCGTCGCCAGTGTAATTCAGATGAATGCCACATTAAATTCATTATAGCTTCCATTGATGGGTTATAGTAGAAATTATCATTACTTTCGATTTTTTTTATAAGTTTAAGGAAAGGGCTATAGTACTCTCTCTGAGATATAAATTTTCCAGGACAAACTATAGGCCTTAAAAAATTCATGAATTCGTTTTTTTTACTGCCCTGAGATAACCTTTTACGTTTATTTGTCGTGAAATCAATTAAAGGTACCATTCGAATATTAGAAATTATATTTTGGCTGTAAAAAATTAAATTGAATTAATAATAAAATAAAATAAATAAAAATGATTATATAAAAGGTATCTTACTTGATCTCTTTTAATTTCAGTTTAGAATCTTGTGGAATAAATTGTGTTATTGGTATAAAAACTTTCAAAGAATTTTTTGTACTTGGTGGAATTTCAATAAATTCAGTAAAGGATGCATCCAATTCTTTTGCACAAAAGCATGGTTTATAAAATAATAATTGAACGTAAGACTTGTAAAGATCTGTATGAGAAAAAATAAAGGTTTGAATTAACTAATACTTCATATCTGTAAATAAAATAAATTTTACAACCAACCATCATCATATAACCTTGGTATAATATCAATAACAGTATTCATCCATCCAATTTCTTCAACTGCTTTATTAGAATAATATTCTAAAAAAAATCCCAAAAAAACAGGATCTTTAATGAGGAGAAGAATGATAAGTAACTATAACGTGTAAAATTCATTTACAAGCAATCAATGCAAATTTAAATAACTAAACCTGAAAATGCTATTTTAATTCTGGATGGTTCACTTTCCCACAAGGAAGGCATGTGAAGCGATTTCTCATGTAATAAACTATACTTATTTTGTTTTATTTCTTGTGAATATTTTGATTTAGTTTCCAAATTAGATGCTACAAAATCAAGGGTTTTAATAATCCGTTCTTCTGATTCATTGACTGAAGCTTCTTTTTCGTTAAATAATATGTATTTTATAAGAGAATATTCTTTTGCATCGATAAGAATTCTCATCAAATTAAAACGAAAATCTAATAATCGCCATGTAATAGGATATAAATTAATAAATCTGACAATAATATTTCGCGTTTCTTCAATTATTTTCTTGAATTTTACATAGTGACCTTGAAATATAAATGATGAATCATGTTTATGAGACATCTTATATAAATATTTAAGTGCATGACAAGCTTCTATAGCGATATTGATTACATCATTGTCAGCAATTCCCATTTCAAATATTTTATTTTTAGGTTGAATAATTGACAGTTTGAATTTTCTGACGTCATACTTTATTTCTTCTATTTCATTCATAACATCTTCATTCCCATCACTCTTACTAATCACACTAATAAATTCAAGAGTTCTTTTTTTATTTCGTTCACGCCAAACTTGAATAGTAAAGCTTCCAATCAAAAGTAGAATTTCTTTTGTTTTATCAAGAAAAACCGAATATCGTGGACCTTGATTATAAGGTATACGTAGCCAAGGTTCAAGTATGTGATAATATTCGTCCAATTCTGATTTTTGACTATCAATCTCCCAGACAATATTGTTATATTTGAGTTCCAGTGGTAGAGTTACCAAATTTTGGTTGTCACTATTTTTCTTTAAGAATTCAGAATATTTATCTGAGATTAGATCATCATAAATTACTGGTTTATTATCCTTAATAATTATAATGAATGAATTTGATCGCTTCAATTGATAACCAGATCCTACAAAAATATTTTTAATTTTTAGATCAAACTCAAACTCATTTCGAACTTCGAGTTTAATTGATCTTTGTATTGAACCGAAAATATCCCAAATAGCCCATTTATTTGCTAATTGATATATCAATAATTTCTCATCTTGATCAAAAAATTGCATGAGATAGTCATAATCAGGATCCGATACAGATATTTCGCCAATATCAAGAGTTATAGAAGCTATTTCAAGACCACAATCTATTAAGTATAAATTAACCTGATTTCCAGTTTTATACGCTAATAATTTGTTATTGTTTGAAATTGCAAAAATATCAGGAATATCTATTATGAAATTCAAATTATTTAAATTTTGTCTCCGAAAGGTATTTACTAAGTGATTAGTTTTTAAATCATAAAGTTCCATATATTGAACACCCCCTTGCGTAGTATCTACTAAAAAATAATGTTTATGTAAACATTTTATAATATATCTCATGTTAAAACTACTAATTTTTTCACCAATATCAAAAATCTTTTTGCTATTATAAATTATTGCTTCTTGTATTCTTTTCGGATATCTTAACTTTTGAATTTTTTTAATAGATGTTTGTTTATCCTTCATATGCTTAAAGTCATACTTATAGATTCCAGAGGCATTTAAAATATAAAAAAAGCATTTATTATTGGTATCTTCATCTTTATCTTTAGTGTCTTCATCTTTATCAGTTTTTTTAATATCTCCATTTTTGGAAAATAGTTTGAGTATTCCACTATATTTATTAAAATGCAATATTTCTTTAATTGAATAATTTGATTCGTCAATAGAGAAAACGGTGGCAAACCCCAGAGTATTATTACTAGGGTCTTCAATAAGATCATTAATATTAAGATCGTTACTGAGGTCTTTAATATTAGGTGTCATATCATATTCGCTT